TGCTCCTGCCTCTGCTCTGGAGGCCCTTCTCCTACAGAAAGGGGGTTAGTAAGGAGAGGCATAAAGGTACTCGCCCTGCCTGATGTGTCCTCTTGGGCATAAACAGAACTGGGGGACAACTGGAAAAGGGAGGCCTCCAGAGAGACAAGGGGCAGCCACCTGGAGCCCATCGTGGCAGGGACCTTCGCCTCACTGCAGAGGGCCCTGGGCAGGGACACAGCTGGGCTGGCGTGGAGAGAAGTGGGAAGCAACCAGAGACCGCCCCGGAGGAAAATGTGCACTCTGAGCGCGACGAAGGCGCATCTGCAGGCATGAGCGTCCTGTGTCAGAAATGTGGGCATTTCTTCTTTGGTTTTGTTTTCCTCTGATTGGTGAGCGGCATGTCCAAAACTTGACTGCATGGCCCGCATGCTTACCGCCATTGGTTCACCCTGCCTGGATGCTCCCTGAAGCCCCTCCCAGCTCCAACCATCTATTCTTTCTGAAACATCTGTATCATCTGGCCCCTGACAGGAGCGACTGGCTATCTAAGTCCCCCAAACCATCGTTCTCCCTGTTCAGCCGGCACCTCCGGAGGCAGGGACGCCTGGCCCGGGCTCGGGCAGCCCCGCACACAGAGCGGAGGATGTTGGCCACGTGCCAGGCCACATGATGCTCCACGCTCTCTCAACCTTTTCTCAGAGTTTTCAATAGCACTAACCCCCGACTTCACGGCACCCACACCATTGCACTGAAGGAGCGAGCATAAAAGGTGCATCTTGCTCACAGCTCGGACGCCTCGCGCGAATGGCCTGTGTGGCCATGGGCTCCAGCAAATGGGGGTTTCCCTCTGTTCAGAGCGATGTACGCCTTTCTAATGAGAAATGCCAAGTTTAAGGTTCTCAAATCCTCGAGTTTTGGGTACATGGACTCAAAGACTCCTTTTGATGCCAAAGGTTACAAATTGTTTCCAACTATCCATTTGCTCAGCTATTTTATTGCAACTGAACGTTCAATATATATATATTTATTTATTTCAGAGAGCGGCTGCCTCCCGCATTCCCCACACTGGGAATGGAGCCCACAACCCAGGCATGTACCCTGGCCAGGAATCGAACCATTGACCTCCTGGTTGATAGGCTGATGTTCTACCACTGAACCATACCAGCCAGGCATCAGCTTACTAGTATTTTTCTGATGGGAAACACAATCCTTGGACAACTGGTTTAAAACAATTCCCAACCTGGCCAATGGGGGCGGGGGGAGGAGGGAGGATCCAAAGAAAGCAGAACTGAAATACTGCTTCAGCAATTCAAGTCATGACATCCGTGTTTACCATGTCTCCTCCCTTGTGTACACCAACTGTGCTGCTGGATGTTGAAAATGAAAGTTTGCCAGAATCATCTGAACTGATAAGGCTGAACTGCGTTCCAGAGTCAGGCAGGAACACTCTGTTAACAGGAGGCCATTCCCTCTTCCCCATCCAGGTTTGTTTGTTTCACATTGAATTACCTTTTTATTTTTTTGGCCTAGGAATCTGGAATTGGAACTTGCACTGCTGGTGGCTTGTGATTTTCCCAGCTCTCTAGAAGCTTCTGAGATCTCATCTTTTTCTCACAGAGGCTTTGTCTGTAGTGAGTGCACCCTGGCTACAAAATCGGCTGGCTTGCTTAAAACAATGGAGCTACAGAGACAATAGGAAAGAAGGTGCTGAGCGCTAACCCGACACAGCGTCTGCAGTTGTGGTAATCTCAGCAGAGCCACTCCTGACCTGCAAGTTCAGGGACAGGCTGGTCTTCCATTCACTCCCTCCCTGGCTGTGGCGGAGGAACCCAGCGAGGTGCAGAGCCCTCAGCTACATGGAAGGATTCTGTTTAAGATTTCCCTGTGCTTCACCACTCCAGGTCTGTCAGGCTGCCGGCATAATGAATAAGTGCTTGTCAGGAGAATCGTGGGGAGAAAGAGCATTCTAAGGGTAAAAAAGAGTTTGTTCAAAGGCCCTGAGGTATGAAACATCTTGGCAAGAGAGCTGCCAGTAGGTCAACACAGCTAGAGTAAGGGTTTAAGGTCAAAGAGAAGCCAGAGCCAGATCCCAAAGAACCACCCAAAAGCCTTGAACAACGGGAAGACAAAATCAGGTTTGTCTTTCAGAAAAATTTAGGTAATGTCCAACTGAACATAGTTTTCCCTTCCCAGGGTCACCATTATGATGATCAGTTATCACAAAAACCACCGGAGTATATCTAATGCCACAAAACACGGGACTCATTGTAATTCACAGTTCTTTCCTCTGTTCGCAAGTCTTCAAAAGTCTTTGTTTGTTTGAGTGTTAATGGTGAATTGGCTTATTTTTCTAGGCTGGTTTAGTTGCTGCAAAAGGCCTTTACCAGTGGCATCTTCCAGAGTGGGTTTTAAATGCTCATCTTCCTAACCACAAGGTGAGTCGTAGGTGGCCACTTCTTAGCACCTCTAAGAGCCGGCACAATCATTCCCCCTCAGGGGGCACAGACAGCAGTGGCAGCTTGGGTCCCAACTGGGAGAGGGAGGCGGCTGCGGGAGGCAGAGCCAACTTAGGGGTTAGTACTGGGACTGGAAGTGAAATGTGTCCCAGGATAACAGCAGCATGAGTAAAACAATAAATAAAATTTAAAAAGTCGCTGAAGAAGAAGAAAAAGAGCAGGTGCTGTGGTGTGGAAGGAGGGATGAGATTGCAAAGAGTATCTGTTGATGGAATTTCATGACAAAAGAGGTCCCTGGAGGGAAAAGTCTGAGACAGGCAACTAAACTGTTTGAATACATGTAGCTTCATCTGTTCACTTATCATTCATGAGGTCAGCCTATTAGCCTTCCGTTCATTCTCTTTGTATATAAATGTCCTGGGTGTTGAGAAACTAACTGGACACCACAGAACCCTGTGCTCTCTGGCCACGGGGGACTCAGGAGCAGGAAGGGCTCGCTGCTCCCGGGCACCTGAAATGTGCCAGGAAGTGTCCCAGGTGTGCTTATACACGCTGTCCCTAAACTGAACCTCCACCACACTCCTTTGATCAAATCAGCAGACATGCACAGTCTATTTCTCTGGCCCAATTTTCACTGTCCCATATTTGAGAAAACAGAGGCAGCAGGTGGGGAAAGGATCACTGGGTGAGGAAAATAAAGCTAAAAACGTAGTTTCAGACACCATCACTTTAATCTCCCTCCTCCTTTCCAGAGCCTCAGATTCCTCACAAAAGAAACACTGCTTTTTTTTAGATCATTTATTCCTTTTAACGCAACATTTCCCCAAATGCCCATGGATTAATCCTTGTCCTTCTTGTCTAACAGTACCACTAACACCCTCAGTGCACGTATGTGTGTGTGTGCGAGTGCGCGCGTGCTGGTGTGTCGGATTCAGGCACAAAGCCCGAGTGCCATCAGCCCTGCAGGATCTGCCGGGATGTGGGCCAGATCCGAATTCTGGACACGGATGTCCCATCACTGCCATGGGAGTGCCCCTTTGCGTTGTAGTTGCTGCAGCCTGGGGCTGCTGAGCACCAGGGGTATTTTGCTTGTAAGTTGTTATAAAACAAAAACCAAGAAAAGTAGGGGGGGGAAATAAGCTAATCATATCAACCCATCAGGTGGTACTCAACTTAGCATGTGTTTTATTGTCAGCTGAGGAATTCTAAGAGCATTGTAGAAACACTTAAAGCAAAGTGGCAGGATTTCTATCAATCACTCTGTTTCTCAGACAGTAATTTTTCTCCTGAAAAATCAAATCAACAATAAATTATTTATTGAGCACCTACGTGTGACAGGTACTCCAATGCCAACGGAATGTTATAGGGTTTGTTTTCATTATTATCTTTTCTTCTTTAAAATGTTTAAGGCCTTGATCAGGATGTATTAGCTGTTTTCTCTTCCAACAATTTTATCATTATGAATATCTTCAGAAGTTTAACACTTCGGTGGCTATGCAGACTTTTCTGGGTCTTTATTGTTTTGTTTTGTTTCTACTATTGTTTTTTCACCTGAATATTTCTTTTCCTACTCTCTGATTTTTAGGGAGAAAAAAAGTCTAGTATCTAGGTCTGAGACCACTCGAAATGTCTGGGCTGGGATTGCTAATGACCTCCCAGAGACAACCCAAATTGCTGATTTAGCAAAGCCCATTCTTGACCTTGACACAAGGCAAGACAGGCAAAGGGGAAGGACTTGGGAGGGAGCCGTGAAAGAAAAAGGATCATAGAGGCGCTCAGATCTCCCCAGTCCCCTCCCCCATTCAGCAAACACCTGGCTGAGTTAGAAAACATGACCGGTCCAACCTTCCTATTGGCACCAATTGAAGCTGTCAGCTCTCGGCTTGTCACCAGTTGCACTGGGAGGCCCCGGGCAGCCACAAGAGCCCTAATTAGGCAGAAATGACACTTCTACAACTGACCTGCCAGGACCTTTGGCAAACCATTTAACATCATTAGTTAACATTTTTTAAAAGTGTGAATGTAAATGAACAGCCAGTGGCTTTCAATGGAGTTTGTCGGTGGCATCTCCCCCCTCCCTGCTCACTCTTTCTCTTTTTCCATGAATAGTCCACTTGTTTTCTCCAGAATTGGAGGGAGGCGCTGGGGGAGAGGGGAGAAGGAAGAAGAGGACCAGTCCTCGGAGAGGAGAGACATGTCAAAGCACAAACAAGTGCAGAGGAGCGCTTCAGCCTGGGCCCAAACAGCCGAGCAGGGGACCAGGGTGTGCTCAGCAGGCCAGGTCCCCTCCAGCAGTCCCAGACAGCAGCCATTCCAGGCTTTGGGTCGATGGGAAAGGACTTCATTTCCTGACCCCGGTGCCTCTGAAACACCCTGGTGCTCACACCTCCACCTACTTGTTGGCATTAACAAGCTGATGTTTTGCAGATGTTTAGCCAACATCTCATGTGTGCTTAAGTCCCCGTGCACCTGTTTTAAAGGGGTCCCTCTGTAAAGGAGTGACGGTCTAGGGATAACCATTTCAGACGGTTAGGTACTTACAGAAATTAGTTCATTTCCTACCTGTAGCGGTTACCTCCCACCTTGAGTCACACTTCATTTTGTTCTTCGATGTACATCCACAGAATCCATACACGCCAACACTCTCCATCTGTGGGGGGTGGGGGGGGAGGAGAGTGTCACTGTGAAAATGTCACTTTGTCTGTCTGTTTCCAAGCTGCTCTCAAATCCTGTGCCCATGCTGGGGGTAGGTGGGCGGCCGAGGGGCCAGCTCCTGGCAGGCCTTTGCACGTACCACCTGCCTACTCGCTGTGTGGCCCGTGACAGGTGGTTGGTCCTGAGTCTCTGATGTTTTTGTAAGATAACACCTTACTGCCCTGGCCGGTGTGGCTCAGTGGATAGAGCATCAGCCTGCACACTAAAGGTCCCGGGTTCGATTCTGGTCAAGGGCACATGCCCGGGTTCCAGGCTCGATCCCCAGTAAGGAGCATCATCAATCAATGATTCTCTCTCGTCACTGATGCTTCTATCTCTCCCTCTCTCTTCCTCTCGGAAATCAATAAAAACATTTTTTTTAAAGATAATGCCTTACTCCTTAAAGTGAGAAAAAAATGGGAGTATCATGATCACCGGAAAGCGAGCAAAGGTAAAGGAGTGTGGGCCATTAAGAGCTGCCCAAATTGAGAATCTGTGCCCTTGCTTCCCAAGGCCCACTTGACAAAGCCACCACACCACAGCACATCCAGGCCCTCTGTACAGGCCCGACTCCTGCTTATTCTCGAAGGACTGAGAATACGACAAGGAACGTGCAGGGGTGCAAAACAAGTTCCTAAACCCACGGTTGCATGAGTCAGCCTCTCTGCGGGGTGTCTGGTCCCTCTCGGGATTTCTGGAAGCCCCGAGAACCGTGGTGGGCGCCCGGTAGATGCGCAATAAACGTTTACTGCGTGGGAAAGCAATGCGGCCCGCAGTCCCGGGCTCAGGGCAGGCAGGAACTGTGCTTTGGGAAGGGCTCACATACTGGATTTGGAGAGTTTTACTTGTCTCTGAATTAAAGATGAGTAAGATCAAGCGGGCAGTTTGTGGCAGAGGATGCTTGTAACCTAGTCATCAGAGGGAAGGAAAAGAAAACAATCTTCGTTTGGGGCAGAAGGGGAGAGAAAATACGGGAAAATGTCCTTAATAACAGTAAATGGGGAAGAGAGAGAGAGAGAGCAGCTCATTGCGATGAAGCATTTAGTGCTTTTAAGCTAAATACCTCAGCATATTAAGCAAATAGAGAAAAGCCAGCTAGAAGATGTCAGCAAATTGAAGCGAACGGGGCTCAGAAAGCCGATAGGAGGTGCCTGGCTTTGACCCCTTTTCCCATCACATGCCTGGCCGCGCCTGCTTGTTTAGTGTTGCCTCTCCTCTCCAGCTGCGGCGCTTATTGAAAAGCTCTTGCTCCCTGCCTGGTTTTGGCACATTTTCTGCAGGTGCCTCCTACTGCGGCCACAATGGGCTGCCAGGGAGGTTTAGACCTGTCAACAGCTCCGGGGGAGGGGGTGGTGTGGTGGAGGGGGCGCAGCTATTGTCTTAAAGGGCCAGGGACATTGGGAACCTCCCCTCCGCGGAGCCCGCAGCACAGGCACCTGCTAATGAGACGAACCCTTTCTCTGGCTCCCTCTTTCTCTCTTTAATGATTTAACTTGATCGCTTTGGTTCCTTTCTGGAAGGGGAATTGCTCCATTGATCATCTAAAGTAATTGCCTGTAAAACATTGCCCTGCGACCACGACTACTTCCCTGGCTGAAAATGTCACAGCAATTGAAAAGCTCTCAGCCCAGTTCAAGAACGAAGTTGCTCGAGAGGGCAGTCCTCGCATGTGTCCTCAAGGACTGGCGTGTTCAGAGTTGCACGTTTAGGGTGGGACTGGTGGATTTTTAAGACAGAGAATTTCCCTTCCTGTCGTATAGTCTGATTTTGTGTGAGGCTGTGGAAAATTAACCAAACTGAACTTGAAACTTCCTCAACCCTAAAATTAGACGGTTCAGGGGAAGACACTGTTTTCTTTTCTTTGTTTTTTTTAATCCTCACCCAAGGATATTTTTCCATGGATTTTTAGAGAGAGTGGAAGAGAGAGGGAAAGACAGACAGAAACATCGATGTGAGAGAAACACATTGATTGGTTGCCTCCTCACATCCCTGACCAGGGCCTGAGCCGGGCAGAAGCCTGCAACCGAGGTGCATGTCCTTGACTCGAATCGAATCCAGGACCCTCGGTCTGCAGGCTGATGCTCTATCCACTGAGCCAAACCGGCTGGGGGGACGTTATTTTCTGAATCACCCAGGCCATTCTTTTCTGGGAAGCCCTGAATTCGGAGGGATGGCCATGTGGGTCAAGTGTGATTTAGGAAAGCGTCTTCGTTTCATCACACAGGAAGACAGTGTCTTTGTCCAGGGGGTAGCAGGGGCCTTGGTTTAGGAGAGGAATGATGCTCTAATTGGGTGAGATTTGCTGATTCTTCAGACCTGTCACTTGGCGGCAGCAGCGACACACTGTAGGAAGGGGATGACACGCTTAAGTAGTTTCCGTGAATACTTTATTAGTCATTGCCATGCCAATGCGAGGGTGTAATTCACCTGGGGAAAATCACTTTGTTGTCGGCATCAGCCTGCCAGCAAAATAAACAGCTGCTGGCGATGGTTTCATCTTCCTCTGACAGGTGAAAGCCTAAGTCTGTGTGGGAATAAGTAGACTTTTTCCATTTAATTGGTGGGAAGCACCACTTGCTAAGTGAGAGGCTGCCAGGTTCCCAATGTTACTAATTTGGGAACAAAGCTTCAGGTGAGTCACCTCCCAGCAGAATGAGCCATGAATATTTCTTGTAGCTGATGAAGTGAGCAGCAGGCATGCTTAATACTGTATTTTAAAAAAAGGACGAAAACATCTGCCAGGCAATCTACCCGACAAACAAGAGAGAGTGTGGAGCAGTCAGCTACAAAAGGCCGTTTAAAAGGGTGAATCTGAAGACAGCTGAACAATGTTTTCCATATAAGCCTTCTGAAAGGCCATGGTGCGAGTTTCATAACTTGTTAGTAGATGCAGCAGGGTTGTTGTTTTTTCCCTTGGAATTTACAAATTTTGGATTTTATATTTTTAAATCTTGTAATATTGTCAGAATATACAGCTATTCCGCTAGGGCGATTACATATATTACACCAAAATGTGCTGTATATAATAAAAAGTATTTTTCCTTTACCGACCCACATAGTGAATATAACTTTTAAATTCCTTACATTTAAACCCATTAACTAAATTGATTCCTGAGTATGAAGAATTATGTTGGCAGTCTTTCACACACAACAGTTTTGTTTTGTCTTTCTGGGTAGGGGAGGTGAAGTCTGTGCTTGCATAGCGTGTACGGAAAGGTCTTTTATCTTTGTCTGTAAAATGATGGTGTGGAAGTAAACGACCCCAAAAGTTCTGCCTGGCGGTATGATTTCCTTGTCTATAGAAATGACTCTGAAATGACCAATGGATGAGTGGTAAATATGCCCAGTTATTTCTAGCAGCTTTGCCTGTTAGATAGGCAGCCAAGACAAAGTAAAAGTGGGTTGAGTTAAGCCCCTGCAGCCAAGACAGGACAGCCTACTACCAAGGCCAGAATCGCAACGCCCTGTAAAGACCCTCCGGGAAGCAGGAACGCACAGGGAAGGTGGTGGGGGCAGCCGGAGCGCCGGCGGGTGGCCGCCTGCCGCTGGGGCTCCGGCCGCTTGTCCTCCGCATGAACTCCCAGAGTGAGAGCTTGAATGGATGGTGTTAACACTTCTGGAGGGGAAAGCACATTCACAGAGGAAAACACAAGCACGTCCTCAGTGGAAGGAATGTCTCCCTGACAGCAGCCACAAGACTGGTTTCACTTTTGCATCCTCTTCTTTGGTTTGTTTGCACGCGATGCCAGAGGTCTGCATGGAACTCCCAACCAAGTTCACAGACAACCAAATGGAGCGTCACAGTCCCATGCCTCACGGACCTTTGTGGCACGTTTGAAACCACCTGACTTCACGAGGTAGAATTCACCTTGAATTAAGTTTGTTCCAACTTCATACCAAATAGAATTTGTCACGATGTTGGGCGTGCATTTAAAAATGACAGAATGTGTTTTAAAATGCTACATCATTCCTCTGTCCACGCACACCTCGCTGATGAAATGTGCGCACAGCGGTGAGAATTACACCCTGGGTTCCAGAGCGACTGTCTGAAGGGGAAGAGCTAGCACTCCTCATAACCGGATCTGTGGATTTACTTATGGAGGGAGAGCCACAGACCTTTCAACCTGAGCCCTCATTTACTTGGTGTTTACACTTGTTACCAACACGTATCTCGGCCGCCGAAAGTTAACCCACAGAAAGGGTGAGATTCCTCATACTTAAATAAAAAGTTCACATCGGGCTGCGGGGTAACAGTACCTGTTGAAAAGCCTGTATGTCCTATACAAGGTGTCCTTACTTTCCAGCTAGAAAATGATGTGACTTTGAACTCGGCTTTATAGCTCCTGAATTAATATAGAACGGCTGGCTATGGGAAGAAAAAGGGCTATTTTATGCCTTAATAGAATGCATGGGGTCATAATAAATGAACGTTTCAGCTGCAGTTGGTGTGACTAAGTCAGACCCCACTCCCCTCCCCCACGAAGAGCCTGGTCTACTTTTTTTGTTCCTTGCAATCTTCTTAGAATTACACGCTGCAAAGTTTCCTTTCTTTCAAAAGTCAGAAAGCACAAAACAGCTGGAGGAGGGTTCCCATACTGTGTTTCTCCAGTTTGATACAAGATCACACCCTTTTCTTCCAACCAGGTCCTTCCAGAGTTACAACTTATTTTAAAGTGCATCTGAAAGAGGTGCACTTTAGTAATACCACTCGTATGACTGATCCAAAGGACTGGTTTTGGGTGCCTACCATAAAAAACCTAAAACTTCACCTACACATGCTGTCAAAAATAGATGAGATGGGATGGCATCAGGTGTATAGTCCTAAAGCCTGAATTTGGAGAGTAAGGTGAATCTCTCATAAACACAGCAATGGTGTGGGCTGATACTGATGTGTCAGCCGACCGAGCCTTAACCCCGGGGGTACAGGCGTGTGTGTGTGTGTGTGTGTGTGTAATT